ACACACACACAGAGCCCCTGTGCGTGCACACACACTGCTCTGTGCACGCACACACACACTGCTCTGTGCATGCACACACACACAGCCCTTGTGCACACACACACTGCTCTGTGCACACACACACTGCTCTGTGCTCACACACACACAGCCCCTGTGCGCACACACACACTGCTCTGTGCACACACACACACACACACTGCTCTGTGCACACACACACACACACAGCCCCTGTGCACACACACACACAGAGCCCCTGTGCGCGCACACTCACACAGTGCTCTGTGCTCACACACACACACACAGAGCCCCTGTGCGCGCACACACACTGCTCTGTGCTCACACACACACACACTGCTCTGTGCACACACTGCTCTGTGTACACACACACACACAGCCCCTGTGCGCGCGCACACACTGCTCTGTGCACACACACACACACAGTGCTCTGTGCACTCAGAGTGCTCTGTACACACACACAGAGTGCTCTGTACACACACACACACACACACACACACACACCGGGCTCTGCACACACACGCTGCTCTGTGCACACACATGTACACACAACTATGTGCACACACACACACACACGTACTTGCCAGGTACACACACACAGCCCCTGTACACACACAGTGCTCTGTACACACACACACATACTGCTCTGTGCACGCATACACACAGCTATGTGCACACACACACACACACAAAGTCTGTACACACACACGGCCCATGTGCACACACACACAGAGAGCTCTGTACACACACACAGTGCTCTACACACACACAGTGCTCTGTACACACACACACATACGCACAGCTATGGGCACACACATACTTGCCAGGTACACACACACAGAGTGCTCTGTTCACACACACAGCCCATGTACACACACACGTACTTGCCAGGTACACACACATAGAGCTCTGTATGCACACACACACACACAGGGCCTGTCCCAGTGCCAGCCCCGGGGACCCGTGGGGGTGGGGGGTATTTGTGGCACCCGAGAGGCCGTGTCGTGACCCCGTTAACGGGACTGTGGCCCGACCGCGGCATGTCTCAGATCCACCCAACCGAAGGGCCCGAGCCAGCGATACCACGTCGCCGCCCCGCTCCACCCCCCAGCCCTGCCCCACTGCCCTCACCGGGCCCCCAGACACCCATGTCTCTGTGTCTGCTGCTTCTTAACCATCCTCCCGCCCCAGAGGCCCTGGAGGGGTGTGTATGGGGATGGACGGACAGACGGAGGGGTGTGTATG